TGTCTGATAGTATGGGCAGTTATTTTTAAGATAACATGAGGCATGTTGGTAGCCAGTATTGATTTCCTTTTGTCTTGTTTTGTAATCATGTATCATATTCATTGTTTTATTTTGATTGACTCTATCCTGTTTTATTTCACTTGGTTTTATTTGCCTCAATATAAATAAGTAAATTAAAAACCCAAGTACCAGTGTCATTATTCACACTACAAAAATTAATTCTAAAATACATATGGAACCACAAAATCCCTAAGTAAGTAGTCTTAGTGATCTTGAGCAAAAAGAACAAAGTAGGAGTCATTATCTACCTGACTTCAAACATGCTACATTGCTGTAGTAATTTTAAAAGCTTGGCATTTACATAAACAGAGCAGTGGAACAGAGACTATGCTGTAAAATACTAGGGAATAAACTTGAAAGAGCTTGTATACTAACAACTATAAAACACTGCCAGATGAATTCCTAACTTAGGAATTAGGCAAGAAAAAGAAAAGAACTCCAAGTTGAAATCATGTGTGTGAAATCCCTTTCTACCTTCCTTCCAAAAGGACATTTTTGGTTGCATTTAGGGACCCCCTGAATAATCTAGGAAACTCCTTATCTGACAATTCCTGATATAGTCACATGTGTCAGGACCCTTTGTCCAAGTAATGTGACATGCATATGGATTAGAATGTAGACCTATCTTTGGAGTTACAAGTTACTCTACTATATGAACATGAGGTTTGCAGATCCCCAAAGCTCCTGACAACTGCTAATGAAATTATGTAGAATGTCTATCAAACTGTTCAACCTTCTTTGTCATTCTCGCAGTGATTTTTATATGTTTTCTCTTTTTTAACTTTTGTATCTTTTCTCTTTCACCTACCCCCACTCCCAACCTTAAGGGAAGCTTGATAAGTTGTAACAGTTTTTAATCAGTATTCAAATACTTAACATTTTGCAGGACTCTCCATCCAAATTTATTGAATCAGCAACTGCATTTGCATTTAACAGTTGCAACATCACCAGTTTTTCTTGTCCATCATATTTCTTCTTCCTTGCACTCTTTATTATGATTTAGTATTTGTTTGAGGTATCAGATTTTCTTCAGAAGGGTTTGTGGCTAGTTATATATGCTAAGTCTTTTCCAGAATGAGTGTACTTTTTTGCTCTCCTGTTTGAACAGGGTTTTGACATACATAAATTTTAAGATTAAAAGAATTTTCCTTTGAAATTGTTTAAGTATTGCTACATTTCAGTGTATTTTGGTAAGTAATTGTGAAGTGATAAAGCAACTGAGAAATTAAATAAGATATACAGTTTTAAGGGCACAGTTCCCAAAACCACCTTCACTTCTGACACCAAGTGCAAATTTTGGGGTTCCCCATACCACCTTCAGGTTCAATAGCTCACTAGGAGGATTCACAGAATGCTAAGAACAGTGTTATACTTACTGTAATGGTTTATTATAGGCAGGAGATACAGATTAAGATCCATGTAAGAAAGAAATACAGTGGGTAGAGTTTGGAAAGTTACCAAATATGGTGATTCTGATCTCAAGGAGTCAGGACATAGTACTTTTCTTTTTTTTTTTTTTTTAATTTTTTTTTGTCTTTTTTTTCGGTACCAGGGATTGAACTCACGACTGCTTGCTTGCAAGGCAGGTGCTTATGCCGCTGAGCTAAATCCCCAGCCCCGACATAGTACTTTTCTGACATTGCTGTGTAACATCATGTGCAGCAGAAAAGCTTAATCAAACTACAGTGTTGCATTTTTACTTAATTTTAATTTCATAAGCATGATTGGCTTACAACCTAGTAGCTTGATCTTAGTTTCTAACTGCTCTATGTGTGACCCAGAGTTCCATAAATCACATGGTTGGTTTTTCTCAAGTGACTATCACTCTCCAAATCATATTGTCATTATCTATATAACTATTAGAAAAAAAATATAAAAAGTTCTGTTTATGATAGTATCAGAAAGATACTTAGAAATAAGTTTAACTAAATAGAGGGATCTGTGTAGTATACTGAAACTTATAAAGCATTTATTTAAGAAATTGAAGACACAAAAATGAAAAAAAAAATCCCATGTCTATGGATTAGAAGAATCATTACTGTTAAAATGATCTAAAGCAATATGCACATTTAGTTCAATCAGGATCAAAATTCTAATTCATATGAAACTGTAAAAAACCTTAAATATACAAAGTAATTTTGAAAAAGCAGAAAAATGTTGGAGGCGTCACATTAATCTCAGTAGTGACTTCAGATTTTGTCACAAAGCTATAGCAAGCAAACCAGTGTGTTTCTTCATAAAAAGAGACAGACTCCCCACAGTGAATGTAATCATTATGTACCCATAGATGTGTACTAATAAAAAATAAAGTTGACCAGTAAAAAAAAATCCTGTGAAATCCCTGTAACAGTAGAGGAAACAATAGACACAAATTAAAAAGAAGCATACACATTGGGATACAATATTTGTGAGCCATATATATCTAATGAGGGATTAGTGTTCAAAGTGTTTAAAGAGCTCATAAACTCAATAGCAGAATAAGAAAGCAGTTTAAAAATGCACAAAGGTCTTATTAAAGACATTTCTCTAAAGAAGATATACAGTTGGCTAATCAGTGTATTAAAATATGCTCAACCTCACTAAAAATCAGAAACACAAATCAAAAACACAATGAGATATTGCCTCAACCCAAAGAGGATGGCTATTAAAAAACCAAAGAGAATAAGTGTTGGAGAGGATATAGAGAAAAAGGCACCCTTGTACACTGTTGGTGGGAATGTGAATTGATACAGCCACTATGGAAAGCAAAATGGAGTGTATTTAAAAAGTTAAAATGAGAACCACCTTTTAATCCATCAATCCTTTCTCAAAGTGTATTATGTTCAAAGGAAATGAATACAGTACTCCAAGAGATATTCTTGCTCTTGTGTTCACTGCAAGATGATTTATAATAGCTAGTATATGAAAATAGTGTCAACATTTGTCAGTGGATGAATAGATAAATGGTCACACACACATACACATACAAACCAGTATACGTAGGCCAACTTTAAAGAAGATCTTGCTGTTTGCAGCAACATGGATAAACGTAGAGAACATTATACTAAGTGAAACATGCTGTTCACAGAAAGAAAAATACTGCTTGATCTCATTTGGAATGTTAAAAATTTGAGTACATAGAAGCAGAGCATAGTGCATCAAATCCCAGGGACCAGGAGGTGGGGAAAATGGGAAGATATTGGTTACTGTGTACAAACTTGGTGTTATAAGCTGAATAAATTCAGAGACTTAATGTATAATATGTTGACTATAGTTAGTAATAATGTATTAAATAGTGAAATATGCAATGAGAATAGATTTTAAGGATCCTCACTACACATATAGAAAGTAATTTTGAGGTGACCGTATTAGATTTTCATTGCTAGAACAAAATGCTTGACATACAGAAGTTAAAGCAGGAGAGGTTTTGGCTTGTTTCAGAAGCATCGTGGTAGCAGGGCATGTCATAGAAAAGCTGTCCATCACAACATGAAAGAGGGAATAGTGTAGGGGTGAGGTGGAGAGAGACAGAATGAATCTAAGAAATCTACCCTCCAAAGGCACGCTGCATCACCTCTAACTAGACCCCACCCCCTCTTAGCACATTCAGCCATGAACCCATCAATAAATTAATCCACCAATGATTATAGCACTCTCAGTATCCAATCTCCTATCAAAAGCTCCACTCCTGAATATGGTACTTCTGGGGGGACATTTTAGATCTAAACTATATAGTAATGGACATTTTGCTTAGCTTGATTGTGGTAATAAGTTTCCAATGTGTACATATATCAAACATCATTGTATACCTTTAGTATAATACACACATAATTTTAGTCATTTACATTCCAAAGCAAAAAAATAAAATGCATTAAACATTTGAGTTTCAAAATGTTCTAGGGTGATGGGAAGAAACTATGTTCCTTCTTTCTGTATTCTTTGTGTATACCGGGTATGTTCTGTCAATTGAAATGTTCAAGTCATTCCTGGTTTGGGAATATTTTCTTGTGCTTGTTCCTCAATTATTGATATTTGGCAGCATTTTCTCCTTCTGCAACATTAACAGGTGCCTAAATCAATACCAGAAACATAGTAAACATTGTTAAATATGGGTTGAATGTGTACTTGGACTCTAGATATGTTTGATCAGTGTCTTACATGTGTCTCCTTTCATAATTCATATTCAATATTTTGGTATGTTGTCAGAGAATTTTTTACTAATTGTTCCCATAGAAGCTGCTTTTGGCTATTTACTTTCTGCTATGTGTGTTTTTTTTAAACATTATGTCAGTTTATGAAAATGTATGTTTTGGAATATTGTATTATCTGATTTTTCCTTTTCATATCCTCTAACATTTTAAATCATCACAGTGACATTTTTTATGTGAAATGCTTGTTAGAAGTTTTTATTACTATCATTCTCTCCTTTCTTCATTAACTTTGTTCCAATAAGAGTTATTTGCTCTGATTATTTAGCTTTGATTCCTGTATAGGATCTTTTCATTTGTCTGAGTCAATTCCTATATTCCATTCAATGTGTATATTTACGGCTAGATTTAAGCGGTTTGGTATGCAGTGTATACCATTTCATGGTTAGTTCTGTGCTTCCTAGTGACATCCTGTACATTCTAAGAAACATTAAGTGAAATCCAAATAGTGGTGCCCTGTTTACTTAATGTACTATAGAGATTTTATGGAGAAGATGGATAAAAATGAATGCATTTTTTGAGACAGTGGATTTAAGAAGACAATTTGCTAAAATGTAACCCACATACAGAAAATTGTATAACTTGTAGTTTTACAAAGTAGCACACATGTGGAACCAACATCCAGATTAAGAATTAGAGAATGACTAGCACCCCAGAATTAGTGAAAGTTGATGTTTTGGGGGGATATTGCTTCAAATCATCCATGCCTTCAAATGCCAAGGATTAAACAAACAATTGCACTTTTTTTCCTAGTCTGTCACCTTCAAAACAACCAGCAGAAATCTTGCCCGAGCCATGTGTATGAAGAATATCAAGCTCACCATCATCATCATCATCGTATCAATTGTGAGTTTAGTTTTGTCCTTTTACTGTCTGATTTTATTTTGTAGTTTCTAAGAAATTAGATAGCATGATTCTTTCTCAGTGATTAACTCTGAAATGATGTATTCAAAACTCAATCTCAGAAAGTGACTTTCTTATTCTGTGGTGAAGTTATTATAAAATATTATCTCCACTTAAAACTTTTCTTCCTGGTTGAGAATTCTTATGTATTTTAACCTCACATAAATGTAGTTATGTACTAGTTATTATATATCTTGGAGGTGAGTCCTTGGTCTGTTGGTAAGGCTTATCTCATTTATTGGGCTCGGGTAATCCTCCTGTTTTAGCCTCCTAAGTGCTTGTACTCTAGGCACATACCACCATGTCTGGCTAATATAGTTATTTATAATACAGTTATTAGTTCTGTTTGTATGTAAGGAGTTTATTAGAGTTTAAATTACATATTTTAAAATATTAACATCTAATATGATAAATGTTGCTATTTATAATTCCTTTGAAATAGAATCTTTTGGAGTCCTTAGTGATATTTATGTAAAGAGAGACTGGGAGATTTGGCTCAGTCATAGAGCACTTGCCTAGCATATGTGAAATGTGGGTTTGATCCTTAGCAAAAGAACAACAACAACAAAAAAAACACTAAAAGGGATCCTGAATCAAAAATATGAGAACCACTGCTAAAGTTGTTGGATTTCACCTGGATTAGTTCATGTCTGAAAAAAACCTGCATTTTCTCTCCATATTTCAGTCATTTTCATAAGTCCAAAATTATCACTAAACAATACTTTCACTTCTCTATCTCTTTTTGAGGGTTCTGTATCTTAGGTAGTGGGACCTACCTAAGAGAAAAGAGTTCACTGCAGCAGTTTCTCTTTCTTAGCTCAGGGTCCTCAGTTGATACATTATAAGTTTCTAACCTTAGTGTCTTCCATAGTCTTTAGTCTGTAATTTTAGATTGATTTATGCAGCTGAATTGTTAAATTCAGATTATGTTTATCAATTATATATTACATGTAAAACACTGCTCTAAATGTAATATTAATCTTTCTAAAAAGTATTGGCACCTCACCTTAACAAATCCTTATAGTGGTAGCAAATACTCTAAATCAAGTTATTAACTTAAATATAACAAGTTACTATTTGAATATAACAAGGTAATATAACAAGGTAGATAATATTTTTAAATTATCATAATTTAAAATCATAATGCTAGAATTAAATAGCTAATAAATGTATGCTAGAACTAGTATTTTTGCACTGTCCCATTATCAGCTTTTCTTTGGTTCTGTAATCATTATTATTGTATGATTTTTCTAATGAACATTACTGAGCAACATTCATGCTGATAGTTGGTATAGGTAAAGTCTCTTCATGTATTCTTATTATAATTATAAAAAATCGTGTATATATAAAAATTAAAAATATGGTTAGTCGTAAAATGACACTTCAAGGAAATCATGGTTATTGTAATTTTTATGGTATGTTAATGTTGCATCAGTAAGAGTTGCTCATTTAGCTTTGATTATGCCTAGTTTTCTGTGAAAATCAAGTTTCTCCCTGATGTAAAAATTTAAGTAGATAAAAATTATATAAGAATAATTTTGATCCTACTCCTTTATTTGAAAATACTTCATTAGTTTGTTATATTAGTATTGGACTGCTGCTGTAATAGCACCAGAAGTGTTGAAGTATTTCTTTCATAGGGCTTTATTTTCATATATATTCTTTTCATTGTATAATATATATTTATATATTAGGAACATGATAAATTCAAGAAAATAAAATTGTCTTTTCTTTTTATAGGTATTCATCTATATCATTGTATCCTCTCTCTGTGGTGGATTTACATGGCCAAGCTGTGTAAAAAAATAAAGAAAAAGTTGTCATTAACCAAGGATAAAAGAGACAAAGGAATTAAAAATAATCCATGTGACTCAAGCCTTTCTCTACTCAGAAAATTGTCTGCCAGTCTCTTCAACCCTCTTTTTCACCTTTTCTTATTTCAATCTTGTTCTATGCCTTCAAGATTTATCTTTGTTCCTATCAGCCAGTTTATTCCACTGTACTTCATATTGAACCATTCATTATATCAGTAGCCTTGAAATGGCTTTTGTTTGGTTGGTTGGTTTGTTAACTACTATCATCTACTTTGAGTACCATCTTTGGTTTCAATTGCACAAAGCTGTTGCCAAATTGGAAACCACCAGTCTTAAAAGCTGTCTACTAAAATTATATAATCTTTGTATGTGCACACAAATACACATGTGTATTCAAGGAACAGATAGAATTGCTATTATCTCATCTTAATGTCTTCTGTTAGTGAAGTTTTAGGTGCTTCAAAACTATTTAAATGGAGAATATTGTTATTTTGGGAATTGTAATTAAATTGTTGGTGCTGCTTATTTCCAGGAGCCCAAACAGGTAAAGTACTAAAAATTTTTATTTCAATCTGATGGGGAATATTTTCTTATCCTATTAGAAGCACAGAATATCATCCTTTGCCTCCTAGTATTCATTTTGGGGAATAAATCTCAGTGCACTGATCATCAACAATATTTTCTTTCCTTATCAAATGATTTGAGAAGATGATGGTTTAACTATTGTTGAAGATTGTGGTTTTTTAGCATAATCCATTTTGTTCTGTGGATATTTAGGGCAATTGTATTAAAGAATGTGTAATGGAAAGGATAGGAGGCAAACACCTTTGAATCACCAAAGAAAAAGGAGGAAACCACAATGGATGTGCTAACATTTTAGCTGTACAAAGGGAGATTGTGTGGGAATTTTTTTTTTCCATTCTGGGAAAAGCCCAAACTGAGTATAGTTGGCAGTCAACTCCAGAGTTTGGATTTGACTCCTATGGAATAATAGTTTGAGCATCCTTTTATTGTTTAATAAATTGTTCACCTAATTGTGAAGTTTTTATGAATCTGAGAGAATGTGTAGAATCAATATAAAAGGTTAACATTAATTTTACTGCATTGCAAGAAAATTGGACTGTAATCATACTGCTTCAGAATTTATCTAGTAGTTGTGTCTGAAAGAAAGACATTTGCTGCCCTAGAATAATTGCATATATTTATCAACAAATGCAATGAAATGGATGTTTTCTTCCTTTCTCAACTAGCCCATGGAATTTAGCCACCTGTTTAGCTGCATCATGTGCCTTTAATATTATATGTGTCCGGTAATCTGGCTTATGGTATTCATTCTTCCAACTAAACCATTTACCTGATGCTACTTGATTCAGATTTGACATATACTTTTGGCCCACTGAAATTTTCCTTGCTTATTGTGCATAACCCAAATTTTTTACCTATTGTCTTTATCAACACCATGCATTTTAATATCAGCATTTCCTATTGAAAAATCATTCGATAAAAATATTTGACATCATAAATAATAATTTCCAAATATTTTTATTCCAAAGAAAAAGGCTTAAACTTTATTTCCCTTTCTTATACATACTTGATTTATATTGAAATGCATGTTTTAAGGATTAATTACTTAACTGTTCTTTGGCCTGTTTATGTATAAGAATGCTTTTAAAACACATGTCATTGTAAATGATGCACAAACTTAAGACATTAATAAAATTTAAGTGTAATATAGTAAGTTCTTTGTTTTAGAAATTGTTCCTGGAGTTTATGTTCTTTATATTGTATACAGCAAGAAAGTTACTTACACTGAAAATTAAGAAGTGTTATGTAAATCATTTCTGTAAAGATGTATAGTTGTATTGTCAGGTATATAGAAATTATTTAAAAACAAAATACAAAAATTACTAAAAAAAAAAAAAAGTAGAGCATACTGAAAACAGCAGAAGATCATAAAACGTCCCCACAGCCTGTACCACTATCATCCTTAGCCCATGATTTAAGAATATAGACAAAACAAAAAACAATTGAGATATCTCCATTCGGAGTGACACAATTTTTGCATCCCAAATTGAATGACTAACCCTAAAACCTCTCCAACTAAAATCTTGGTTAGGGTTAGGGTTAGGGTTAGGGGTTGGGGTTAGGGTTAGGGTTAGTGTTAGGGTTAGGGGTTAGGGTTAGGGTTAGAGGGTTAGGATTAGGGTTTAGGCTTAGGGTTTAGGTTTAGGGTTTAGAGTTACGGTTAGGGTTAGGGTTAGGGTTAGGGTTAGGGTTAGGGTTAGGGTTAGGGTTAGGGTTAGGGTTAGGGTTAGGGTTAGACAGGGTTAGGGTCAGGGTTAGGGTTAGGGTTAGGGTTAGGGTTAGGGTTAGGGTTAGGGTTAGGGTTAGGGATTAGGGTTAGGGTTAGGGTTAGGGTTAGGGTTAGGGTTAGGGTTAGGGTTAGGGTTAGGGATTAGGGTTAGGGTTAGGGTTAGGGTTAGGGTTAGGGTTAGGGTTAGGGTTAGGGTTAGGGTTAGGGTTAGGGTTAGGGTTAGGGTTAGGGTTAGGGTTAGGGTTAGACAGGGTTAGGGTTAGGGTTAGGGTTAGGGTTAGGGTTAGGGTTAGGGTTAGGGTTAGGGTTAGGGTTAGGGTTAGGGTTAGGGTTAGGGTTAGGGTTAGACAGGGTTAGGGTTAGGGTTAGGGTTAGGGTTAGGGTTAGGGTTAGGGTTAGGGTTAGGGTTAGACAGGGTTAGGGTTAGGGTTAGGGTTAGGGTTAGGGTTAGGGTTAGGGTTAGGGTTAGGGTTAGACAGGGTTAGGGTTAGGGTTAGGGTTAGGGTTAGGGTTAGGGTTAGACAGGGTTAGGGTTAGGGTTAGGGTTAGGGTTAGGGTTAGGGTTAGGGTTAGGGTTAGGGTTAGGGTTAGGGTTAGGGTTAGGGTTAGGGTTAGGGTTAGGGTTAGGGTTAGGGTTAGCAGGGTTAGGGTTAGGGTTAGGGTTAGGGTTAGGGTTAGGGTTAGGGTTAGGGTTAGGGTTAGGGTTAGGGTTAGGGTTAGGGTTAGGGTTAGGGTTAGGGTTAGGGTTAGGGTTAGGGTTAGGGTTAGGGTTAGGGTTAGGGTTAGGGTTAGGGTTAGGGTTAGGGTTAGGGTTAGGGTTAGGGTTAGGGTTAGGGTTAGGGTTAGGGTTAGGGTTAGGGTTAGGGTTAGGGTTAGGGTTAGGGTTAGGGTTAGGGTTAGGGTTAGGGTTAGGGTTAGGGTTAGGGTTAGGGTTAGGGTTAGGGTTAGGGTTAGGGTTAGGGTTAGGGTTAGGGTTAGGGTTAGGGTTAGGGTTAGGGTTAGGGTTAGGGTTAGGGTTAGGGTTAGGGTTAGGGTTAGGGTTAGGGTTAGGGTTAGGGTTAGGGTTAGGGTTAGGGTTAGGGTTAGGGTTAGGGTTAGGGTTAGGGTTAGGGTTAGGGTTAGGGTTAGGGTTAGGGTTAGGGTTAGGGTTAGGGTTAGGGTTAGGGTTAGGGTTAGGGTTAGGGTTAGGGTTAGGGTTAGGGTTAGGGTTAGGGTTAGGGTTAGGGTTAGGGTTAGGGTTAGGGTTAGGGTTAGGGTTAGGGTTAGGGTTAGGGTTAGGGTTAGGGTTAGGGTTAGGGTTAGGGTTAGGGTTAGGGTTAGGGTTAGGGTTAGGGTTAGGGTTAGGGTTAGGGTTAGGGTTAGGGTTAGGGTTAGGGTTAGGGTTAGGGTTAGGGTTAGGGTTAGGGTTAGGGTTAGGGTTAGGGTTAGGGTTAGGGTTAGGGTTAGGGTTAGGGTTAGGGTTAGGGTTAGGGTTAGGGTTAGGGTTAGGGTTAGGGTTAGGGTTAGGGTTAGGGTTAGGGTTAGGGTTAGGGTTAGGGTTAGGGTTAGGGTTAGGGTTAGGGTTAGGGTTAGGGTTAGGGTTAGGGTTAGGGTTAGGGTTAGGGTTAGGGTTAGGGTTAGGGTTAGGGTTAGGGTTAGGGTTAGGGTTAGGGTTAGGGTTAGGGTTAGGGTTAGGGTTAGGGTTAGGGTTAGGGTTAGGGTTAGGGTTAGGGTTAGGGTTAGGGTTAGGGTTAGGGTTAGGGTTAGGGTTAGGGTTAGGGTTAGGGTTAGGGTTAGGGTTAGGGTTAGGGTTAGGGTTAGGGTTAGGGTTAGGGTTAGGGTTAGGGTTAGGGTTAGGGTTAGGGTTAGGGTTAGGGTTAGGGTTAGGGTTAGGGTTAGGGTTAGGGTTAGGGTTAGGGTTAGGGTTAGGGTTAGGGTTAGGGTTAGGGTTAGGGTTAGGGTTAGGGTTAGGGTTAGGGTTAGGGTTAGGGTTAGGGTTAGGGTTAGGGTTAGGGTTAGGGTTAGGGTTAGGGTTAGGGTTAGGGTTAGGGTTAGGGTTAGGGTTAGGGTTAGGGTTAGGGTTAGGGTTAGGGTTAGGGTTAGGGTTAGGGTTAGGGTTAGGGTTAGGGTTAGGGTTAGGGTTAGGGTTAGGGTTAGGGTTAGGGTTAGGGTTAGGGTTAGGGTTAGGGTTAGGGTTAGGGTTAGGGTTAGGGTTAGGGTTAGGGTTAGGGTTAGGGTTAGGGTTAGGGTTAGGGTTAGGGTTAGGGTTAGGGTTAGGGTTAGGGTTAGGGTTAGGGTTAGGGTTAGGGTTAGGGTTAGGGTTAGGGTTAGGGTTAGGGTTAGGGTTAGGGTTAGGGTTAGGGTTAGGGTTAGGGTTAGGGTTAGGGTTAGGGTTAGGGTTAGGGTTAGGGTTAGGGTTAGGGTTAGGGTTAGGGTTAGGGTTAGGGTTAGGGTTAGGGTTAGGGTTAGGGTTAGGGTTAGGGTTAGGGTTAGGGTTAGGGTTAGGGTTAGGGTTAGGGTTAGGGTTAGGGTTAGGGTTAGGGTTAGGGTTAGGGTTAGGGTTAGGGTTAGGGTTAGGGTTAGGGTTAGGGTTAGGGTTAGGGTTAGGGTTAGGGTTAGGGTTAGGGTTAGGGTTAGGGTTAGGGTTAGGGTTAGGGTTAGGGTTAGGGTTAGGGTTAGGGTTAGGGTTAGGGTTAGGGTTAGGGTTAGGGTTAGGGTTAGGGTTAGGGTTAGGGTTAGGGTTAGGGTTAGGGTTAGGGTTAGGGTTAGGGTTAGGGTTAGGGTTAGGGTTAGGGTTAGGGTTAGGGTTAGGGTTAGGGTTAGGGTTAGGGTTAGGGTTAGGGTTAGGGTTAGGGTTAGGGTTAGGGTTAGGGTTAGGGTTAGGGTTAGGGTTAGGGTTAGGGTTAGGGTTAGGGTTAGGGTTAGGGTTAGGGTTAGGGTTAGGGTTAGGGTTAGGGTTAGGGTTAAGGGTTAGGGTTAGGGTTAGGGTTAGGGTTAGGGTTAGGGTTAGTATAAATAAAAAGCATAGTAAAAAATAATAGGAAAGAAGCAGATAGATTTTTTTGCAAAGGAAAGGGGACCAAGATACAGACAGAGAAGAAAAGAAGGAGCTGAAAAATAATTAAAATGTGTTATGTAGCTGGGTATGATGGCACACTCCTGTAATCCCAGCACTCAGGAGGCTGAGGCAGTAGAATGTTTGCAGGTTCGAGACCAGTCTGGACTACAAAGTGAGCACAAGCCCAGCCTGAACTGCATAGCAAAACCCTGCCCCAAAACACACACACACACACACACACAAATGTGCTATGTACCATGCTGTTTTTATTATAGCAGCCTTGTAGTATAATTTCAGGTCAGGGATTAGGATTCCTCTTGCCTTGTATCTGTTGCCTAGGATTGCCTTTGCTATTCTAGGTCTCTTCTAGTTCCTGATGAATTTTTAAAATGTTTTTTTCTAGATCTGTGAGGTGGTATTTATACAGTAAAGTACTACTCAGACATAAAGGTTGATAACTTGAGGCTTTTATAGGTAAGAGGATACAACTAGAAACCGTGTTCATAAGTGAAATAAGTCAAACTCATATACAAACTCTGTATTGTCTTGCTACTGTAAGAAACTAAAATTAAGTAAGATCTAAAAAATTACAATAGATAATAGTGAAAGAGAAAGAAATTACTCAAAGGAAAGTCATGTTGTTTGATCAGTCTTGCATGCCTGTAACTGGTAACCTGAGCAACTATTTTGAAGATAATAAAATGCAATATACTAACCATTGTTAAATTCCTATATTGTTTTGAAATCCTGTATCAGTATTGTGTTGTTGTTATTGTCCTTTGATTGTTGTTATTTTTCTTTGTTCACTTGATTGCTTTTTGTTTTTTCTATGTTCTTTTTTTCTCTTTTAAAAAAAGGATAGGCGGGCGTGGTGGCTCATGCCTATAATCCCAGCATTTGGGAGGCTGAGGCAGGAGTACAGTTGCAAGCTCAGCCTGGGCTACAAAGTGAGCTCAAGGCCAGCCTGAATTGCATAGTGATACCTTGTCTCAAAAAGCCAGAAAAAAAAGATGTGTTATGTATGTGTACCAGCTCCCCATTACAAATGTAATCATTATGTACTACAAACATGAACTAATCAAAATCAAAACCAAAAAAGGAGAAAAAAAATACATACTCTCTGTTGTGCCCTTTGCTGTCTCCAAAATTAACTCCCCTTAAGAAGGATTCTTTATCTCCCTAGCCAAGTTTTAATTAAAGATATTAAGACATAGTATTCAGAAAGTTTTTAAAAATATATAAAATATTTAATGTTGAAAATCTTTTCATGGGCTTGTTTGACCATCAGTACATCTTATTTGGAGAAATTATTCTAGTCTGTAGCCTATTGTAATACTTTTTTAGTTGTTATTGCAATGTAGGTATATTTATAATATAATTAAATATTAGCCCCTTACATATATATGCTTTTAGCAAATATTTCATATAAGTCTCTGGGTTGTATTTTCATTCTCATTATAGTACCATGTGGTATACAAAAGTTTTAAAATTTGATGTCCATTTTATCTATTTTTTCTTTGAATCTCTGTACTTCCAGGGTTATATCTAAGAAACCATTGTCAGATTCATGTCATAAAGCTTTCCCCTGTTGTCTTTTAAGTGTCTTGTAGTTTTAGGTCTTTTTTTCCATTTTCAGTTAAATTTTGTTTATGATATACTGTAAATGTAAAACTTCATTCTTTTGCATGTGATTTAACTAATGTCATTTAAGAAACAGTTTATTGCAGTTCTATATATTAGAAAAATATTTCAAAGGTAAAATTAAAATATGAAAGTTCTATTTACAATAGTACTTGAAAAATTAAAATTCTTAGGAATAAACTTAAGAAGATAAAGAGCTGGTATGCTAAAAGCTGTAAAACATTGTTAAAATAAATCTTTGATTAACATTTATGCAAGAGAAAGAAAGGAGAATGCTATTTGCAGATGACATAGTCATATATATATATATATATATATATATCCTAAAGATCCCACTAAACACTGGCAGAAGTAATTTAAAAATTCAATAAAGTTATATGACATAAAAATCAATATACAAATATCAGCATGTCTGTGCTAAAAATGAATTATCTGGAATAGAGATCAAGAAATCAACTTTATTTGCAGTAGCTATAAAAACATAAAATACCTAAGAATAAATGTAACCAAAATGGTGAAAGATGTCTGAAATGAAGATTTTAGAACTTTTTTTTAAAAAACCAAAGACAAAAAAATGTAGAAAAACATCCCAGGTTCATGCTCTGGAAAAAAAATCAATATTGTTACAGTGCCCATACTACCCATAATAGATTCACTACAGTCCCTTTCAAAGTACTGGTGTCGGTGCCCACATGCACACCAGCCACCATTCCCTTCCCACTGCTGCTAGCCAGTGCAGCTGAGGAAAGCAGCAGTCAACCCAACAGCAGTGTACCCAATGACCACTATCGGATACTCATAGCCAGCACTGGCCAGGAGAACCAAACATTCATATTTTGGAGAAATTGTAGCCAATGCAGGAAGTGCCTGGGATCCTATTACCTGGTTATCCCAAAGAACTCAGGAAAATGTCAAGAAGAAGAAGCAAAAGCCAGTCTCTGGCCTCTAACCCATGCACAGCAAGTTCGAGAGATGTAAACATGGAAGAGATTGGGAGGTGCACACCCAAAGTTTCTGAAGTAATGGTAACTGAAGTAAAGAAACAATTTCATGAGGCTATAAAAGAAATTAGAACAGAAATACTATTTCATGTGAAAGAAGAAATGAAAAAATGAAATAATTGCTAAGCATCTCTAAAGACAGAGAAAAAATTAGAGGAACACAGGAAAATGAAGAAAACCTTGAGTCAACAATATAAGAGAGATTTAGAATGCATGAAACAGATTGAAAGAGATATCCAGGAAGTTAAAAACTATTGAAAGCTGGCAAAACCACTCAAAAGAAACTGAAGATACACTTTCAGACCTTGAAGACAGGTCTGCAGCTAGCCATCATGAAAAGAAAGATCTCATAAACAAAACAAGGAACCAGGAAATAACAACTCAAGGGCTGCAAGATGATGCAAACAAAAATAATTGAAGAATAATAGGTGTCAGCAAAAAAGCAGGGGGTCAAAACAAATGACATAAACAATCTATTTACAGAAGTAATAGCAGGAAACTTCCCAAGCATGGGAAAAGATATGACATACAGATTAAGTGAAGCATATAGAATTCGAACTAGCCATAACCAAAATAAATCTACACCCAGACATATAGTAAGCAGGATCCCAGAAATTCAGTAGAACATAACATTAAAAACTGATAGAGCAAAGAAACAGATTATCTATAAAGCAAGACCCATCAGAATCACAGCAGATTTCTCAACACAAACCATCAAATCAAGAAGATCTTAGAGTGAAGTATTCAAGTCCTGAAAGAAAATAACTTCCAACCCAGATTGATGTACCCTGCAAAACTATCTTTCAAAATTAATGCAGAAACAAAATACTTCCATGACAAAGAACAACTGAAAGTACTCATGACTACCAAACCAACCCTTCAAAGAATAGTGAAGGACATTCTAGAGAGAGATAAAAATTACCATGGTTCCAGAAACAGTGGCAGAGAGAGATCACCAAGCAGGGTAGCCAATTGACTGGAGGGGGAAAGTATGCAAGCCAATGGCAGTAAAATATTATGGCAGAGATGAGCCAGTGCATGTTGGCCATAACCATTAATGTAGATGCTCTCCTTTCACCAGACACAGGCAGAGTGGATCAGGGGATAAGATCCATCAATATGCTTTATACAAGAAACACATTTAACTTGAAAGAAAATCCATAGACTGAAAGGAAAAAAAGAGAACAATGCTCCGTGTGACAGGAAATCAGAAATAAGTAGAAATAGCTTGCCCATCAACTACTAAATACATAAGAAAAATATGGTGCTTTTATACAACAGAAAGCTACTCAGCTATAAAAAAAAAAAGATAACCTCAAGGCTCTTGTAGGTAAATGGATACAACTTGAGATCATGCTTATGGGTGAAATGGTTCAGTCACGTGGCTGAACATCATGTTGTCTGCCTATTTAAAAAAAACTAAAGGTGTTAGTGGGATCCAAAATGCACAATAGATATTGTGAAAATGAAAGGGGAGGCAATGTCTAAAAGAGAAGGCAGTGGCCGTTTTTAATCTATTATCATGTTTTGAAACCCTGTATTATTTTCATTGTTCTTTTTAGCTTGGTTTTATTCTGTTTTTTTTTTATGATTTTATCATATTTGATGGCATAGGCAGCTATTTCAAAGATAAAAAATAATGGTAGCCATTATTGATTTCCTGTTATCTTGTTTCAATGCTTCATAATGCTTTCAATGTTTTGTTTTGTTTTGATTGATTTAATTCTATTTTGTTTTGATTGATTTTATTATGTCTGATGGTATAGGCAGCTACTTTGAAGATAATAAGAGGCATTACGGTAGCCATTGTTTTCCTATTATCATGTTTTGAAGTCCTGTATTGCTTTCATTGTTTTGTTTTGATTGGTTTTGTTCCATTCTGTTTTGTTTGATTTTATTATGTCTGATAGTATGGGCAGTTATTTTTAAGATAACATGAGGCATGTTGGTAGCCAGTATTGATTTCCTTTTGTCTTGTTTTGTAATCATGTATCATATTCATTGTTTTATTTTGATTGACTCTATCCTGTTTTATTTCACTTGGTTTTATTTGCCTCAATATAAATAAGTAAATTAAAAACCCAAGTACCAGTGTCATTATTCACACTACAAAAATAGGAGTCATTATCTACCTGACTTCAAACATGCTACATTGCTGTAGTAATTTTAAAAGCTTGGCATTTACATAAACAGAGCAGTGGAACAGAGACTATGCTGTAAAATACTAGGGAATAAACTTGAAAGAGCTTGTATACTAACAACTATAAAACACTGCCAGATGAATTCCTAACTTAGGAATTAGGCAAGAAAAAGAAAAGAACTCCAAGTTGAAATCATGTGTGTGAAATCCCTTTCTACCTTCCTTCCAAAAGGACATTTTTGGTTGCATTTAGGGACCCCCTGAATAATCTAGGAAACTCCTTATCTGACAATTCCTGATATAGTCACATGTGTCAGGACCCTTTGTCCAAGTAATGTGACATGCATATGGATTAGAATGTAGACCTATCTTTGGAGTTACAAGTTACTCTACTATATGAACATGAGGTTTGCAGATCCCCAAAGCTCCTGACAACTGCTAATGAAATTATGTAGAATGTCTATCAAACTGTTCAACCTTCTTTGTCATTCTCGCAGTGATTTTTATATGTTTTCTCTTTTTTAACTTTTGTATCTTTTCTCTTTCACCTACCCCCACTCCCAACCTTAAGGGAAGCTTGATAAGTTGTAACAGTTTTTAATCAGTATTCAAATACTTAACATTTTGCAGGACTCTCCATCCAAATTTATTGAATCAGCAACTGCATTTGCATTTAACAGTTGCAACATCACCAGTTTTTCTTGTCCATCATATTTCTTCTTCCTTGCACTCTTTATTATGATTTAGTATTTGTTTGAGGTATCAGATTTTCTTCAGAAGGGTTTGTGGCTAGTTATATATGCTAAGTCTTTTCCAGAATGAGTGTACTTTTTTGCTCTCCTGTTTGAACAGGGTTTTGACATACATAAATTTTAAGATTAAAAGAATTTTCCTTTGAAATTGTTTAAGTATTGCTACATTTCAGTGTATTTTGGTAAGTAATTGTGAAGTGATAAAGCAACTGAGAAATTAAATAAGATATACAGTTTTAAGGGCACAGTTCCCAAAACCACCTTCACTTCTGACACCAAGTGCAAATTTTGGGGTTCCCCATACCACCTTCAGGTTCAATAGCTCACTAGGAGGATTCACAGAATGCTAAGAACAGTGTTATACTTACTGTAATGGTTTATTATAGGCAGGAGATACAGATTAAGATCCATGTAAGAAAGAAATACAGTGGGTAGAGTTTGGAAAGTTACCAAATATGGTGATTCTGATCTCAAGGAGTCAGGACATAGTACTTTTCTTTTTTTTTTTTTTTAATTTTTTTTTGTCTTTTTTTTCGGTACCAGGGATTGAACTCACGACTGCTTGCTTGCAAGGCAGGTGCTTATGCCGCTGAGCTAAATCCCCAGCCCCGACATAGTACTTTTCTGACATTGCTGTGTAACATCATGTGCAGCAGAAAAGCTTAATCAAACTACAGTGTTGCATTTTTACTTAATTTTAATTTCATAAGCATGATTGGCTTACAACCTAGTAGCTTGATCTTAGTTTCTAACTGCTCTATGTGTGACCCAGAGTTCCATAAATCACATGGTTGGTTTTTCTTCAAGTGACTATCACTCTCCAAATCATATTGTCATTATCTATATAACTATTAGAAAAAAAATATAAAAAGTTCTGTTTATGATAGTATCAGAAAGATACTTAGAAATAAGTTTAACTAAATAGAGGGATCTGTGTAGTATACTGAAACTTATAAAGCATTTATTTAAGAAATTGAAGACACAAAAATGAAAAAAAAAATCCCATGTCTATGGATTAGAAGAATCATTACTGTTAAAATGATCTAAAGCAATATGCACATTTAGTTCAATCAGGATCAAAATTCTAATTCATATGAAACTGTAAAAAACCTTAAATATACAAAGTAATTTTGAAAAAGCAGAAAAATGTTGGAGGCGTCACATTAATCTCAGTAGTGACTTCAGATTTTGTCACAAAGCTATAGCAAGCAAACCAGTGTGTTTCTTCATAAAAAGAGACAGACTCCCCACAGTGAATGTAATCATTATGTACCCATAGATGTGTACTAATAAAAAATAAAGTTGACCAGTAAAAAAAAATCCTGTGAAATCCCTGTAACAGTAGAGGAAACAATAGACACAAATTAAAAAGAAGCATACACATTGGGATACAATATTTGTGAGCCATATATATCTAATGAGGGATTAGTGTTCAAAGTGTTTAAAGAGCTCATAAACTCAATAGCAGAATAAGAAAGCAGTTTAAAAATGCACAAAGGTCTTATTAAAGACATTTCTCTAAAGAAGATATACAGTTGGCTAATCAGTGTATTAAAATATGCTCAACCTCACTAAAAATCAGAAACACAAATCAAAAACACAATGAGATATTGCCTCAACCCAAAGAGGATGGCTATTAAAAAACCAAAGAGAATAAGTGTTGGAGAGGATATAGAGAAAAAGGCACCCTTGTACACTGTTGGTGGGAATGTGAATTGATACAGCCACTATGGAAAGCAAAATGGAGTGTATTTAAAAAGTTAAAATGAGAACCACCTTTTAATCCATCAATCCTTTCTCAAAGTGTATTATGTTCAAAGGAAATGAATACAGTACTCCAAGAGATATTCTTGCTCTTGTGTTCACTGCAAGATGATTTATAATAGCTAGTATATGAAAATAGTGTCAACATTTGTCAGTGGATGAATAGATAAATGGTCACACACACATACACATACAAACCAGTATACGTAGGCCAACTTTAAAGAAGATCTTGCTGTTTGCAGCAACATGGATAAACGTAGAGAACATTATACTAAGTGAAACATGCTGTTCACAGAAAGAAAAATACTGCTTGATCTCATTTGGAATGTTAAAAATTTGAGTACATAGAAGCAGAGCATAGTGCATCAAATCCCAGGGACCAGGAGGTGGGGAAAATGGGAAGATATTGGTTACTGTGTACAAACTTGGTGTTATAAGCTGAATAAATTCAGAGACTTAATGTATAATATGTTGACTATAGTTAGTAATAATGTATTAAATAGTGAAATATGCAATGAGAATAGATTTTAAGGATCCTCACTACACATATAGAAAGTAATTTTGAGGTGACCGTATTAGATTTTCATTGCTAGAACAAAATGCTTGACATACAGAAGTTAAAGCAGGAGAGGTTTTGGCTTGTTTCAGAAGCATCGTGGTAGCAGGGCATGTCATAGAAAAGCTGTCCATCACAACATGAAAGAGGGAATAGTGTAGGGGTGAGGTGGAGAGAGACAGAATGAATCTAAGAAATCTACCCTCCAAAGGCACGCTGCATCACCTCTAACTAGACCCCACCCCCTCTTAGCACATTCAGCCATGAACCCATCAATAAATTAATCCACCAATGATTATAGCACTCTCAGTATCCAATCTCCTATCAAAAGCTCCACTCCTGAATATGGTACTTCTGGGGGGACATTTTAGATCTAAACTATATAGTAATGGACATTTTGCTTAGCTTGATTGTGGTAATAAGTTTCCAATGTGTACATATATCAAACATCATTGTATACCTTTAGTATAATACACACATAATTTTAGTCATTTACATTCCAAAGCAAAAAAATAAAATGCATTAAACATTTGAGTTTCAAAATGTTCTAGGGTGATGGGAAGAAACTATGTTCCTTCTTTCTGTATTCTTTGTGTATACCGGGTATGTTCTGTCAATTGAAATGTTCAAGTCATTCCTGGTTTGGGAATATTTTCTTGTGCTTGTTCCTCAATTATTGATATTTGGCAGCATTTTCTCCTTCTGCAACATTAACAGGTGCCTAAATCAATACCAGAAACATAGTAAACATTGTTAAATATGGGTTGAATGTGTACTTGGACTCTAGATATGTTTGATCAGTGTCTTACATGTGTCTCCTTTCATAATTCATATTCAATATTTTGGTATGTTGTCAGAGAATTTTTTACTAATTGTTCCCATAGAAGCTGCTTTTGGCTATTTACTTTCTGCTATGTGTGTTTTTTTTAAACATTATGTCAGTTTATGAAAATGTATGTTTTGGAATATTGTATTATCTGATTTTTCCTTTTCATATCCTCTAACATTTTAAATCATCACAGTGACATTTTTTATGTGAAATGCTTGTTAGAAGTTTTTATTACTATCATTCTCTCCTTTCTTCATTAACTTTGTTCCAATAAGAGTTATTTGCTCTGATTATTTAGCTTTGATTCCTGTATAGGATCTTTTCATTTGTCTGAGTCAATTCCTATATTCCATTCAATGTGTATATTTACGGCTAGATTTAAGCGGTTTGGTATGCAGTGTATACCATTTCATGGTTAGTTCTGTGCTTCCTAGTGACATCCTGTACATTCTAAGAAACATTAAGTGAAATCCAAATAGTGGTGCCCTGTTTACTTAATGTACTATAGAGATTTTATGGAGAAGATGGATAAAAATGAATGCATTTTTTGAGACAGTGGATTTAAGAAGACAATTTGCTAAAATGTAACCCACATACAGAAAATTGTATAACTTGTAGTTTTACAAAGTAGCACACATGTGGAACCAACATCCAGATTAAGAATTAGAGAATGACTAGCACCCCAGAATTAGTGAAAGTTGATGTTTTGGGGGGATATTGCTTCAAATCATCCATGCCTTCAAATGCCAAGGATTAAACAAACAATTGCACTTTTTTTCCTAGTCTGTCACCTTCAAAACAACCAGCAGAAATCTTGCCCGAGCCATGTGTATGAAGAATATCAAGCTCACCATCATCATCATCATCGTATCAATTGTGAGTTTAGTTTTGTCCTTTTACTGTCTGATTTTATTTTGTAGTTTCTAAGAAATTAGATAGCATGATTCTTTCTCAGTGATTAACTCTGAAATGATGTATTCAAAACTCAATCTCAGAAAGTGACTTTCTTATTCTGTGGTGAAGTTATTATAAAATATTATCTCCACTTAAAACTTTTCTTCCTGGTTGAGAATTCTTATGTATTTTAACCTCACATAAATGTAGTTATGTACTAGTTATTATATATCTTGGAGGTGAGTCCTTGGTCTGTTGGTAAGGCTTATCTCATTTATTGGGCTCGGGTAATCCTCCTGTTTTAGCCTCCTAAGTGCTTGTACTCTAGGCACATACCACCATGTCTGGCTAATATAGTTATTTATAATACAGTTATTAGTTCTGTTTGTATGTAAGGAGTTTATTAGAGTTTAAATTACATATTTTAAAATATTAACATCTAATATGATAAATGTTGCTATTTATAATTCCTTTGAAATAGAATCTTTTGGAGTCCTTAGTGATATTTATGTAAAGAGAGACTGGGAGATTTGGCTCAGTCATAGAGCACTTGCCTAGCATATGTGAAATGTGGGTTTGATCCTTAGCAAAAGAACAACAACAACAAAAAAAACACTAAAAGGGATCCTGAATCAAAAATATGAGAACCACTGCTAAAGTTGTTGGATTTCACCTGGATTAGTTCATGTCTGAAAAAAACCTGCATTTTCTCTCCATATTTCAGTCATTTTCATAAGTCCAAAATTATCACTAAACAATACTTTCACTTCTCTATCTCTTTTTGAGGGTTCTGTATCTTAGGTAGTGGGACCTACCTAAGAGAAAAGAGTTCACTGCAGCAGTTTCTCTTTCTTAGCTCAGGGTCCTCAGTTGATACATTATAAGTTTCTAACCTTAGTGTCTTCCATAGTCTTTAGTCTGTAATTTTAGATTGATTTATGCAGCTGAATTGTTAAATTCAGATTATGTTTATCAATTATATATTACATGTAAAACACTGCTCTAAATGTAATATTAATCTTTCTAAAAAGTATTGGCACCTCACCTTAACAAATCCTTATAGTGGTAGCAAATACTCTAAATCAAGTTATTAACTTAAATATAACAAGTTACTATTTGAATATAACAAGGTAATATAACAAGGTAGATAATATTTTTAAATTATCATAATTTAAAATCATAATGCTAGAATTAAATAGCTAATAAATGTATGCTAGAACTAGTATTTTTGCACTGTCCCATTATCAGCTTTTCTTTGGTTCTGTAATCATTATTATTGTATGATTTTTCTAATGAACATTACTGAGCAACATTCATGCTGATAGTTGGTATAGGTAAAGTCTCTTCATGTATTCTTATTATAATTATAAAAAATCGTGTATATATAAAAATTAAAAATATGGTTAGTCGTAAAATGACACTTCAAGGAAATCATGGTTATTGTAATTTTTATGGTATGTTAATGTTGCATCAGTAAGAGTTGCTCATTTAGCTTTGATTATGCCTAGTTTTCTGTGAAAATCAAGTTTCTCCCTGATGTAAAAATTTAAGTAGATAAAAATTATATAAGAATAATTTTGATCCTACTCCTTTATTTGAAAATACTTCATTAGTTTGTTATATTAGTATTGGACTGCTGCTGTAATAGCACCAGAAGTGTTGAAGTATTTCTTTCATAGGGCTTTATTTTCATATATATTCTTTTCATTGTATAATATATATTTATATATTAGGAACATGATAAATTCAAGAAAATAAAATTGTCTTTTCTTTTTATAGGTATTCATCTATATCATTGTATCCTCTCTCTGTGGTGGATTTACATGGCCAAGCTGTGTAAAAAAATAAAGAAAAAGTTGTCATTAACCAAGGATAAAAGAGACAAAGGAATTAAAAATAATCCATGTGACTCAAGCCTTTCTCTACTCAGAAAATTGTCTGCCAGTCTCTTCAACCCTCTTTTTCACCTTTTCTTATTTCAATCTTGTTCTATGCCTTCAAGATTTATCTTTGTTCCTATCAGCCAGTTTATTCCACTGTACTTCATATTGAACCATTCATTATATCAGTAGCCTTGAAATGGCTTTTGTTTGGTTGGTTGGTTTGTTAACTACTATCATCTACTTTGAGTACCATCTTTGGTTTCAATTGCACAAAGCTGTTGCCAAATTGGAAACCACCAGTCTTAAAAGCTGTCTACTAAAATTATATAATCTTTGTATGTGCACACAAATACACATGTGTATTCAAGGAACAGATAGAATTGCTATTATCTCATCTTAATGTCTTCTGTTAGTGAAGTTTTAGGTGCTTCAAAACTATTTAAATGGAGAATATTGTTATTTTGGGAATTGTAATTAAATTGTTGGTGCTGCTTATTTCCA